ACTATGGTGATTAATTCTAGTGGAATTTGTCACGATTACCTAATGGACCTGCTTTGATCGTCACCTATCACCCCGCACTGGTGCCACGCCAGCGTGTACCGATAGCGCAGGCGGGGTTACCATTTCATTTTATATACATATATATATATATATATATATATATATATATATATATATATATATATATATATATATATATATATATATATATATATATATATATATATATATATATATATATATATATATATATATATTATGTCAAGCGAGAGTATGTTCCAATGTTCAATATGTAGCTTGAACAATAAATATATATATGTGTGTGTGTGTGTGTGTGTTTTGTATGTTATGATAAAACATTCTAACAACAAACAGTAATGTAAAAATCGATCCATATATAGACATACATTCATATATACACAGGAAACAGGAAAAAATGAAAGTGGAGGCTTAAGAGAACACGGAAAAAGACTTAAAGGGTAAGAGACAGTAGAACTTGACAGAGATTTTGAAGCTAGCGAGAGATATGTTGCACTTCACTGTACACAGTTATAACAATTTTCTATAAAACAAAGACGTCGTTTTTATTTTGTGAAATTTAAATTAAAGACTTAAATTATTTACACTTCTAGCGTTAAATAGCTACCGTTTTTTTTCTCTTCTACTTAAAGGTTGTCTGGAAGAGATTGCTTTAGCGATACGACGGCCTTCTGTATTTTGTAATATATATTTATCTTTGTTTAAGAGATGCAATAAAGAGTAAATAAATAACTAAATACATTTTCTTACCGCTATAACTCATGTGAATTTACCATTTGCTATCAAGAGTTTCCAGGCTGCCTTCATCCTACATGAAGTCCTCTGACGTGGCTTCCCTGATGACGGCTTTACATGTCCTCCAAAACACAAAGTGAACGATAGACATTTTTAAATGATTTTAACATGATTTGTAAAATCCAGTGTTTTATATTTTGATGTAATAACTAACGGATTAACTTACCTGTAATTAGATCGAAAAAGCTCGACCAGTTTCGAAATCAATTCGTGATTCTTAGTCATGAGTAACTGTCATGCGAGCACAAGCCTGACTGCATGCCTCGGCCCACTGAGAGATTAAAGATTCAGAAATTTAAACTGAGATTTGATTTTAAGATCCCTTGACAGCAGTCAAGCGTTACTCGACTGATCTGTTATTGTTTATTTTTTTTAATGCAACATAGAATGGCAAACAAGCTGACGGTCCACCTGATGGAAAGTGGTAACCGTTGACTATAGACATGAGCAGTACCATGGACATAACTGAGTATACTGTTTCGTCCATGATACCCCCCATGCATTGCCATTGCTGAGGACTAAGGTTATTCTGATTTTTTTTTATTACACTTAGAATGACAATTAAATTAACAGCCCACCTGATGGATTACGGTAACTGTCGCCTATAGACATGAACAGTACCATGGGCATAACAGAATACACTATTATACCCATGGTACTCCTTATACGGGGGGAAAGCGATTGCTAGTAATGAGGTCTAATAGCCCCATTGCTAGCAATATACCCTCTTAGGTCGACCTTCACGCGGTTCCTCCTGGAAACCATCATGGTTAATTTTTGTCGAATTCATCATGGTGGGCCAAGTGACCTGCATTCATTCTCATCTATCATCTTCCCCGCCGGTGTATGCCGATAGCGCGGGCGGGGTCACCATTCCATTATCACCCATTAAAAAAGGTACCCCTTATACGTTGCCACACCTGAGGACTAAGATGTTACGCCTCTGTTCCCTGTTACTTCACTGCTATATCCCATCTGTCAAACCGAAACACAACCATGCAAACGTAACTGCTTTACGGGAGAAATACGAGTGGGACAGGAGTACCCATGCTGATGACAAACTCAAACTATCTATGTGGTATTGATTGAATAATTTATACTATATATATATATAGTTTTGAATAAATTTATTGAAAATATATATATATATATATATATATATATATCACGATGTACAGACATGTTATATTTCCTTTAGGGACCAATTTCACTATTATATTTTACATGGCACATATATGATACGAGTATATGCAATATGCATATTACAGTCACAGTGGAAACGAAAAATTAATTCATTATATTTGATTATTAACTTTACTTTGACATGTAAAAGTTTTTACAACAGGATGAAGTCGAAATTGTTAGCGTTGTTTGAAGGAAAAATTCTACTATCAAAAGAAAAAAAATACAGTTAAACAAAGAACCTCCTTCTATTTTGAAGTCGGTTAAAAGAGGGTTAGAAAACGACAAAAATATTTCGAGTCACCCATACTAACACGGCGGATTCGGGGGGAAAGGATTATTAGTAATGGGGTCTAGCAATCCCGTAGCAATATACGCTATCAGGTTGACTTCCACGCGGTTCCCAGAGAAACTATCGTGGTTAATTCCTGTGGATTTGTCACGATGGGCTAACTGACCTGCTTTCATCCTCACCTATTATCTATCACTGGTGCGGGCGGGGTACATTTTCACAAAAAAAAAGCGCATTTAGACGTTGCGTTAGTATAGGAGGCTCAAAGTTCTTTGAAGATTTTAAAAATTTCGTTCACAAAATTTCTGTCCTAATAATAATTTTATATGTAGATAGAAATCGCTGAATTCTTAATTTTTCACGTGCATTAACGAATTCGACTTCATCCTATATATAAAGAATATTAAATCATATATATGATCATACATACGATCATTTACATGTGATAATGGAATAAACTCCCCTATAATTTATTAAGTTATAACTGGATGTTACATTCCGTGTTTTTATTCTTACCCGAGGAAAACATTTAAAATTCAAAATTCTCTCGTGATAACAATTCCAAACTCTACATTCGGTAGAAAAATCTCGGAGAGTCTGTGACAATATATACAAACTACAAATTATTATTAATTAATAATTTAATAAATAGACTTTAAATATTTAAATTATCATGCCTTACTCAATAGTAGTACAATTATATTTACAAATTTGAAAAATACTGCCTCATGAAATACTTTGGTCTATATTGCATTTTTAACATGTCGTAGGCGGGAAACATGTAAACTGTTTTGTCGCTTTTTAGTACTAAATCAAAAGGGCGCGTAAAATGTGTAAAATTTAAATTCGAATCATCTTTATTGAAATAAACTTATTTACAAGCACTTTTAAATTGTGATTTTTTAATTTAGTGCAGTGTGCAGGCTATTTATTATCTGTTGAGAAGAGCCCGCAAGAAACTCAACAGTTACTCTTTTAACATTAATCTGTTAACATTATGTGTTTTAATTTGTGGGTTGACTATACACAGCGGGCATACAGCGCTCTGCGTGTTCAATACAATAATGTTTTCAGGGTGTTGTTGCGGCTGCCACGTTTTTGTAGTGCATCCACAATGTTTGCAGCGGCATGGACAGATGACTTCTATGCCATCAGACGCAAACGGATTGCATCTCTTTTATACCGATTGCGTGGCAGCAGTAACGGCATTCTGAGGGCATTATGTAATAAATACGATAGCCCGATCCTCTCATTGTGGGTCAAAATTATTATAGGGGCTATAAAATGAATTTTGTATTTTTTTCTCTACTAACATAGTTTAAGTCAATTGTTACTAACAAAAATGGATCTTTGTAATCTATAAATAAAGAAAATATTATTATTATTATTAATTTAAATGTACAATGTCTAAAATTACATGGTCGTTAAAAGCCCGTGCATGGTCGACTAATACCATGCACATTTGTTATTCAAGTAATCGTTTAGTGCGTAATAGGCTTTGTTCAATAAGTGTTTTTTAATACTTATTTTTTTTATGCAACTTAGAATGGCAAACAAGCTGACGGCCCACCTGATGGAAAGTGGTAGCCGTCGCCAATAGACATGAGCAGTACCATGGACATAACAGAGTATACTGTTTCGCTTATGATACCTCCCATGCGTTGCCATTCCTGAGGACTCAGATGTTATTTCTCTGTACTCTGTAAATTTACTGCCATATCTCATCGTTCAAACCAAAACACAGCCATGCAAACACAACTGCTTCACGGTAGAAACACGAATGAGACAGAGGTGTCCAAGCAAATGACTTTTGTACAAAGTCTGCCTCTGGTTTTGTCGAACCCCGCGTTTTAGTACTAAAAAGCGATAAATAAATTTACATGTTTCTCGTCTACAATATGTTCATATTAACAGAGTGCTGAAGAAATTTTTTTTTCACAATCGATACAAAATATTTAATCTTAAGGATTTATTGCATCGTCAAATATGTAGGATCATATAATATTTTACTGTCACAGTGTCTACTAGAAGTAATAACAGACAATATTATAAAAGTAAAAGATGTTACAATGTTTTTTTCTTATCTACCTACCCAAAAGACTAAAGTAATTTTATAGACTAACCCCTCGTAAACCTATTCTAGCTATTGAACTGTTTTGTCTCTTTCTTGTGTGCCACATTCTCAATTTGAATGAAAGTGACAAAACACTGTGATAATAAAAGCAGGTTTGAAGGTTTAAAATTTTAATAATAAGAGGGTAAGTAAGTAATTTTAATTTAACACAAACTATTAAAGCCAGTAATAAATGAAATCTAACAACAGAAAAAAGTACAGGTTAATACATAAAAGTAATGTAACTATATATTAAAAAAAAAAGTATTTATCATCATATATTTATCACTAAAATCTTTATTCCCAAAATCATAATTAAAAACGTAGACATATATATATATATATATATATATATATATATATATATATATATATATATATATATATATATATATATATATATATATATACACACAAGAAAGATTATATAAATCAATACACATAATGTTAACAGATTAATGTTAAAAGAGTAACTGTTGAGTTTCTTGCGGGCTCTTCTCAACAGATAACAGCCTGCACACTGCACTAAATTAAAAAAAAATTACAGTTCAATAGTGATTGTAAATACGTATATATATATATATATATATATATATATATATATATATATACACGTTTAACGAATATAATAAAACCTTAGATTATATAGATAGTGCATCGAGCCTCAAAAACAGGTCAACTGTTTCTAAAACAAATAGTACGAAAACTTCATAAATGATCCTATATATTGGACAGTGTAATAAATCCCTTAGGCGTTTCTACATTACAGCCGCTTAAATGGTTAAAATAAATTTCAAATACATACAATTCATGTAATTCTAATTAGAAATTACAAATAGCATAGAATAAGCAATTCAAGTAATCTTACTTATTTAATACTTAATTATGTACAATTTTTTTTTTGGATTTGAATTTATTTCGTAACTCTTTACTGATATTTAATGCATTTATATGATAATTAAATTAAGATTTTGAAATGAAAAAAGTATACCGTCGTCAATTGTGAAAAAGTTAATTATTTTGATTTAAAAATTAAATAAATATATAAATTATATGTCCTTCTTCATTCCATGTAATAAGTGTACGAGTTCATAGAGATTGTTTAAATTGTTAAGGTACCGAGATGTGACAAACAAACTCACTTTCTGATATATAAAATATTTATAAGAATTGGGTTCGGAGACTAAATAAAATACTATAGTAACTTAGATTATATAGATAGAGCATCGAGCTTCAAAAACCGTTCAACTTTTGGTCAGCTAATTCTCAAATTAGCAGACTCATTTTTTTTATCAGTATTTTATTTACTTACGCATAAAATGTATCTTGACGTATTGTCTATACTTATAATAAATCTGTAGAGAGGTCAATTCTGTACATGAAATATATTTCCAAAATAACTATCAGCGGGTGATTAGTGATCGATACTGATGCCGAAAATGCAATCAGTAAAATTTTTGTCTGTCTGTCTGTATGTTCGTTATAGAAACAAAAACTATTCAACGGATTTTAACGAAACTTGGTACAATTATTCTTCATACTCTTGGACAGGTTATAGTATACTTTTCATCACGCTACGATCAATAGGAGCAGAGCAGTGAAGGGAAATGTGTCTGTTACATCAAAACCACTAAACCGTGAGGAAGGACATGGGCTATTTATTTTACGATATTTTGCCATTTCGCCATTGTTAGCAATATGCCCTATTAGGTCGATCTCCACGTAGTTCCCCCTGGAAACCATCGTGAACAATTCTTGTTGAATTCGTCACGATGGGTTAACTGACCTGCTTTATCTTGACCTATCACCCTTCACTGTTGCCCCGCCTGCGTATACCGTTAGCGCAGACGGGGTTGCCATTCTATTATCACCCATTAAAAAAAATCAGATTAATATATTTTCATTATTTTTATTATTTATTTCACAGATATTTAAAAATTCTTACACATGTATAAATCTACATTGTCAACAAGTAACGTAATATATATTTCATTTAAAAAACAGTGCAAAGCCGGGCCCTGGCTGCTAGTTAGTTATATATTTGCTCCGTCGTCAGACGAATATCTCTCATTTTAGTACACAACTATAAATATATTTCCAAGATATGACCACTAAAATAATGTTTTTCATTGATATTAAAATAAACCAAGATTCATAAACTCATACAAAAGTAATTTAAACTATTTTGAATTTAAATTAGAAAAAAAAACCTTAGTAAAAAATAGAAGTGGTAAAAAGAAACTATATGTCTAGTTACTAGAAAGAGATTTTTTTTAAAAGACACTTTCTTTGCTTGGGTACTTCTGTTCCATTCGTGTTCATGGCATGAAACAATTGTGTTTGCATGGCTGTGTTTAGAAGGGTGGGATATGGCAGTGAAATTACAGGATACAGAGGCCTTATTTCTCGGGAATGGCATTACATGAGGTGTATCATGGGCGATAGAATATCTGTTATGTCCACGGTACAGTTCACGTGAGTAGGCGACAGTCACCATCTTCTATGTAGGAAGCCGTTAGCTCGTTTGACGTTTTAAATTACAAAAAAAATTTACAAAATGTGTAAGTAGATTTCTGACTACCAAATTTTTTGGTTAGTTAGAAATAAATAAGTGTAAAATTTGATTTAAATGCGTTCTATTTAAATCAAATTTTACACTACTTTTTAGTATTTGATTGTGTATCTAGAGATTATATATTATCGATGTTTATAGTATCATATTTAAATACCTATATCAATTCTAACGGACGTTATTCGAACATTTTATGAGAAAAACCGACTTTGCGCATAAAATTTATGACCCCTAATATTATTCTGTCATTTCCAAGTCTAGTATATCATTTCGGATGTAGATAAAGAGCAAGTCTCATCGGATTCCAGGTGGAATATTCTAGAATATTCTGGTATCTACTTTGGTGGTTATTACTCGAAAGTTTGAGGTACGTTGCTTTGAATTGAGATTTTGTGTTCGATTCCCGTTGAGAATTTTGAAAATGAAGTTTTCTAAATAAAATCGTACCTGGGTGTATTGGGTTGTGGTTCAGTTGAGAAAGCAAACATTACACGTTTATGGAAAGGCCAGTTGTGTTAAAACTTTATAGACTTTCGTGGTTTATTTTGTTAATTAAAAAAAAATTAAATAAAAACAGTGGCACTCCGTGAGTGCCGACAGAAGGGTGGAATATGGCAGTGAATTTACAGGGTACAGAGGAATAACACCTGAGTCCTCAGGAATGGCAACGCATGGGAGTATCATGGGCGAAACAGTATACTCAGTTACCAGAGCGACGGTTACCACTTTTCATCAGGTGCCCACCTGATGAAAAGTGGTCAGCTTGTTTGCCATTCTAAGTTGTAAAAAAAAAAACCTCTTTACTCCTGTTTTGAAGAACCCTAGTGTTCTATATTTTTTATTGATTATTTTAAAAGAGACTACGTTCTAACATAAAAGTAAATTTCTGCTGTTTGACTAGATAGTAACATGTATAAGGAATGAAGGGTATTTTAGTCTTTTACTATACTAAAGACGCGGAATCATTCTGGTATTCGGTAGAAACATTCCGGAATTCTTCAGGTTTCGAGGACACACGTCAATCTTATGTTAATCGTATCATGTATAGATAAATCAATATTAAACACAGTATTGCCAGGTTGTATATTTTTTTCACAATTTCGGGTAAATATGTTTAAATATGACTTTGGAATGTTTTGTAGAAATAACATTGTTAAAGAATATTTTGGAGAAAAAAGAAATGGGTGTATGCAACATGAGGTAAAAAAGCCGTATGCTGTGTGGTCCCGGCATAGAATAGGCCACCCCTTCCTTTCCCGTGGGTGTCGTATGAGGCGGCTAAGAGAGGGCGATGGAAGGCAAGCAGCGTCTCTCTTCAAACATATTCAAAGCCTAACTGCGGTTGCCAATTCGCCTGCCAAGCGTGGCAACTATTGGTAAATTAGTAAGAGGAGACTTATGTTCATCAGTGGACAGTTAAAGGCTGATATGAGGAGATAAATAAGGTTTTTTTTTATTATTTACATAGTGGTTACATTGGAAAACGTGGTAAAAACTAACAACACAAGTATGTGATTGGATAAAAGTGAACGAAATCCTTTTAGTGTAGATTTTCTTGACATTTGGACAAAAATAACAACCGAATCTGGCAACTCTGTTCAAAGAATCTGTATGTTTCAAGTTGGCAAATAAAATATTCGCTAATCTATATATATATAAAAAACAATTGCTGTTTGTTAGTATCACGAAAATTAAAAAATGGCTAGTCCGATTTGAATGCATTCTTGTTCGTTTTATTTATTTATTTATTTTACTCATTATTGTACCAGAAATACAAAAATAAACAAAGACGTATGAACAATTTATTCTACGATTACCATGAATACAGGGTTTGTTTAAAAAAAGTCGAGAAAATCCCAAAATTTAAAATAGGTAATTTTGTATGAATTATATAATCAGGTCATCTCATTCCTCGTACGAGGGAGAAACACTACTTCTGATTACATTTAATAGATGGCGTTGATGTTACAAATTTCGCCGGTTCATCTATTTCCGAATAAATTTTGATAATTTGTTTTTGCAATTAAAAGATTATTCGATGTTCATTCGAACAAAATGAGATTTTGTTTATTAGAACCGCCATTTTTTTTGGTGCTTGTTGTGACGTAATAAACATGTCATGTGTTCTAAATTCAAAACGAAATGTTTCGTTTATCGAATGTTCGTAATTAAATTTGTTATTGTTACTCGGTTAGAATGGAGGAGGATGCTTTTTATTTCGTTCAACCAATATATTCCGATTACGCAGACAGACTCACGAGTAAAAACTAGTAATATAATATATTTTTTCCTTTTTAACAATTCTTTTTGCGTACATATATGAATATCATATCAGCTTATAAATAAGCTTATTTTTTTATTTGGTATGTACGTAGTTTCTTGTAATGAAGGTACACGAATTTAGTATTAAGCACGAAAACGACATAGTGTTTATACAGCGCCTAACTAAACATATTCTTGGGATTATCCATCTAATCTGTCTATTTATTTATAGCAATGGTTCTCAAAGTTGGCGGTATTTTTTTTATGGGTGATAATGCAATGGTAACCCTGCCTGCGCGATCGGTACACGCTAGCGGGGCATCAGTGAGGGATGAAAGGTGACGATGACCAAGTGGGTGGTATTGACCCCTGTGAACGGGGGAAAAGAAGATATTGTTAGTAATGCGGGCTACCGGTCCTATTGCTAGCAATATACTATAACTTGTGTTAAGGGGCCACAGAAATGATGCATTATTCACAATTATACTCCTAAAGGTCTAATTTAAAATCCGGTATCTGCTTTATCTTAATACGCCATCTAGCGGTGATATATTTAATTAGTTTTCCTAATACTGAAATAAACGCTCCGAAGTAACCGTCAAGAAGATAGCAAGAAAAAATAATAAAGAAAAAGTAATGTTTGCAATTCGAACGATTTTTAAACATGCAATAAATATTTTAAGGAGCGCTAGAAAGTAATTGATTCACACTGTGGGCGGTGGCCGTCATAAATTTGGGAGCAACTTTGAGAAACTCTGATTTATAAGGTGGAGGAAGGTAGGGGCTAGAAAGTAGGAAAGTACCTTAGATATGAATGCTAACAAATTTTATTTAAATAAGCATCCCTCTTAATTAACTATATTGATAGCATTAGAAACATCTACAGGGACTGTCTTTTATGTTTAAGGATCAATAATAAGGGATATTTTTTAGACGAATTCCAAACGGGAGTCTCGATTTGACGGTGTATTTTATTACGTGATACATACATACATACATATCTGTCACGCCTGTCTCCCATTAGGGTAGGCAGACACAATGGAATGCCAAATGCTATTTGCAATTATAATATATTATAATATAATGCAAATTACGTGATATGAATGCTAAAACTATTTATTTATTTAATTTCATTAAAATTTTAATGCTCATTGAAATTTTATGTATATTTGGCGGACTTGACACCGGACGGTGTTCTCTATCAGTCAGTCATTGGGCAAAATTTTTTTTATACAACTTAGAATGGCAAACAAGCTGACGGCCCACCTGATGGAAAGTGGTAACCGTCGCCTATAGACATGAGCAGTACCATGAACGTAACAGAGTATACTGTTTCGCTCATGATACCCTTCATGCGTTGTCATTCCTGAGGACTCAGGTGTTATTCCTTTGTAAATCGAGAAAATAGTAGGCGGTGCATTATTGAATAGAGAAAAAATGAAGTAATATTTAATATATTATAAACATATAATTTTTTTATGTAATTTAGAATGGCAAACAAGCTGACATCCCACCAGATGGAAAGTGGTAACCGTCGCCTATAGACATGAGCAGTATCATGGACATAACAGAGTATACTGTTTCGCCCATGATACCCCCCATGCGTTGCCATTCCTGAGGACTCAGGTGTTATTCCTTTGTACCTTGTAAATTCACTGCCATATCTCACCCTTCAAATTGAAATACAGTTGTGCAAACACACAACAGACAACTGTGTTGTTGAAACACGAATGGGACAAAGGTGCCCAAGCAAATTACTTTTTTGTAAAATTTAGAAAGGTTAGGTTTTCATTTAAGTGACTGTTATTACTGAAATTATATTATTGTAAATAAACCTTGTTTTTGTTTGTAATTTACCTCCTCCGTTTGACTTTTTTCTCTTCGTACAGTTAAAAGTATTATGGCAGGTAGGTTAAAAATATAAATATAAAATATTACATTTTAAAATAAATCTGTTCATACTAATATTATAAATGTATAAGTGAGTTTATTTGTCTTTACGGCTTATTCAAACATTAGCACGTTGAGCCCGGCGCCGAATTTGCTGTCCTTTCCGTTCAGCCGGCAGCCGGCGAGAGATACAATGTTGTATGCTATCGCCAAGAGATTACTTTAGTACTAATGAGATAAAGAATTCTTTGTCGCGCTATTTTGGACGTTTTTTAGGTGTATGTGTAATGTAAGTGTGATTTTATTCCATATTTTCGTATGATGTACGTATTTTCGAGAGGTGATCAGTTACAAAAGACCTATCGAAGTGTACAGATTGTTCGTAAAAAGAAAATTGAATTTAGTTTTTTTTTGGAAATAGTTATTGCCCATCACATTGAATATGTCCGACGCTGGCCACACGGAAAATTCTAGTGCCGGTCCCCAGGGGCCGACGCTGACCACACGGAAAGTTCGCTGCTGGTCCCTAGGGACCGGCGCCGGCCACACGGCAAATTCGCTGCCGGTCCCCAGGGACTGGCGCCAGGCCCAACGTGTTAAATAAAATATGAAATTTTACTTACATGCAGTATTTCAATCTCCAGGTCGTACAAGCGAAGTCACGGGTAAAAATTAGTGACACTTATATTATTCACTTTGTGTACCCAAAATGCTCGCAAGTACTTAATACAAGCAAACAGCTGCCCAACACGCAAACCCGTACGGGTTAACTAGCTAGTTATAATCGATTATGTTTACAAACATAGTTAAGTCCACGGAAACGGCGTATGTTGTTTATGCATCTAAATGCAAACAGCGTTTCTACACATTGTATTTTTAGTAGCTGCTGTTACTGTGTTGAGTTATTTCAATTGGATTATCAGCTTTTTCAGCTTGTTAAAAAATTAAATTTGACACCCATGTTTTGTTTTTTGCAATGGACATCAAACAGGTATCCAGACACGATCAACTTAAAGTGAACTTGGTTTTTTATATATTTTTTGGACATTCAATGTTATGATGGAGATTTCCACCATTATGCAAAGAAGGGTTAATGATGTGATTTTGGATTCTGATGTACATGATTTACCTGTATTACCAAGTACCTTAGTATTTTCTCCATATTCAGCACTACATCTATCGTTGTTATTAACAGTCTTTTTCACCGGTTACACTAAATTAAAGAATTCAAATTAATTTATGATTATTCCAAAATATTCATGTTCCAAAAAAAGCCAGATCTAACTTGTTCATGGTCTAATCCTACTTAATCTAGTACACGGTATTAATTTTTCTCTTATTTTTAATCTGACAACTATTTAAACTACGGTTGAACTTAAATTTAAACCCGTTTTTGCATTCGTCGTGCAGAGTGAACAGTTCTTTCGACTCGTCCTCTCTGTAATCCGCATAGGTGTCGCTGTGTCGTTCGTCCATGAAATCGATCTTCTTCTTACCAAACTCACACCCTCCGCTCGTACCAGCACCTTTGAAGCAATCGTAGTGCGGCTTACAGTCGATGCTGTTCGTGCTTCTAGCTATGTAACTTTCGATACCGTCTTTTCTTATATCGTTGTAGCAGACAAGAAAGTTCTTGCCTAACTGTCAATCTCTACCGTCGGTAGTTAGGGTGAATCTCGTAGCGGATTCACTGAGCGAATCATCCCGGACCTTCGGTCGTCGGTTACCGTTTATTTGCTCAATGAAAGATGTATTGGAATTCCTCACACAGTCTCGATGTAAGTTGTGGTTCGATGGGGAGAGATGGGTAAGTCTGTAACTCACGCAGGAGTCGTTACGTCTCACAATGGTCCGGGTGGTGCCCGCTCGGGAGCTGCCGATCGGAGCGAAGGATGTGCCATTCTGTTCTGCTGGTGGTGCTGAGAGGCAGCAGCAGAAGCACTTGAAGTAGGATCTGTGGAATTCCCTGCGGAATTTGCCTGCAACAATGGAGAAGGTGATGAGAAATGTGATGGAGTATTGAATGGATAGGCCACTACTCAAATCATAATGAATCCATTATCATCTTTAAAAACCCTAAAAACTGAAACACAGCCATGCAACCACGGCAGAAATACGAATGGGACAGAGGTACCCAAGCAGATGAGTTTTATGCTATATTCTTTTATTTTCCCTCTGATATATATGCGTTATTTAGATTTTGCCACATAAAACGTAGTTCTTTTGCTCTGCATAAGAAAGCAGCTACCATAATTATAAAATTAATGTGTAATCAACACTGGAGTAAACCCGATCATTAGAAAAAAGAATTACGCAAATCGATGCACAATTATCGTAAATACTTAATGTAGTCGCAAAAAAAAAAAATCAAACATACTGAGAATGTCGTTCTTCTGAAAATAATTTAAAAACAAAATAATGGATTGTCACTCCCAATATGTTCGTGTAAATTGAATTTCTTTGGAACTCTGAGTTACGCACAGGAAATGTACTTTCTAAAGTAACTGAGGGCCACATAAATGGGAAATATGTATAATTATTGAAATATAGTGACGTCCTAATAATTTATTTATCGATAAAAATCATTCTCATCATATCAGCCTTCAATTGTCCACTGCTAAACATAAGCCTCCTCCTTGGAGGGTTGTGCCAGTAGTTGCTACGTTTGGCAACCGCAGTTAGATTTTGTAGATGTTTTAAGAGAGATGCTGCTGCTTATCTCTTGCCTTCCCTTAGTCACCTCTTACGACACCCACGGGAAAGAAAGGGGCCACACACAACCAACCGATAAAAATCCAGACATATTATGTAAAAATAATGCAGAGTTATCTAGGTAATATATGGTACTAGAGACACGCCCCATGCCTTTTTTTTAGACGAGCGTGTAAAAAATTACGTCTACGTACTCGTAATTCATTGCTAATGTAGCTTTCTATAAATGAAAGAATTATAAAACCATTTAAGTATTTTTTGAGTTAACAAACCTAGATTTTATTCTCAAGCGTCTCTTAATTTCATACAAAATTCACAAGAAGCATAAAACTGAGAAATATGCAAATTGGCTTTCTTAGTATTTTACACAATCAATCTGAAACTAATGCAGTGAGACATTGACCTCAATTCTACTACGATTGATACGTTACAAACTAAAAACTCTGTGACTGAACTAGATAATTTTGTGAAGTCAAACACAAATACAAATAAATCAGACTTTAACATGCATGTTGGACAAATCAAGTCTACAACACGAATCGATGACTAGTCTCACGAGGCTAGAAGAAGAAGAAGTATAAAACTGAGGAATATGCAGATTGGCTTTCCTAGAAGTCTAAACAATCAACTTACAATTAATACAGTGGGACATATTGACCTGAATTCTACTATGATTAACATGTCACAATCTAAGAACTATGCAAATGATCTAGACAATTTTGTGAAGTCAAATACAAATACAAATAAATCAGACTCTAACATGCATGTTGTCATCATCAAGACTACAAAGGAGCAATACGAATCGAAGGCTAGACTTGTGAAGCTAGAAGAATCTTCAGATAATAATTCACATAAACAAAAAATAAAATTGACACATAAAGTCCTATTATTAACTGATAATAATAAATGACCCCCAAAAAAGGAAGGCCCATGTTCAGCAGTTAACGGCTGATATGACGATGATGATGATTAACAAACAAATATGGTAATGGTATGAGAAAAAAGAGTTGGCTCAGGATCATTCCTCATGGCAGTGTACAGAGAGACCTATGCCCAGCAGTGAACAGATAGCTGAGATAATAATAATGATGAAAAAAACATTACAGACTCTTTTGGGAACGGATTTGTTGTGTCCTCAACTATAAAGACTCACGAACAGTTATATGATATTCTTAATTCTTGTTACTAAAGCCCAATTGCGGTTGCCAACCTGCCTTGTAAGTATGGCAACTACTGGCAAAAATCTTCATTGGCAAATTTTTTTTGATGCGTGAAAATGGTGTGGTAACCCCGCCTGCACTAACGGGATACACTGGCGGAGCACCAGTGAAGGGTGATAGATGAGAATGAAAACAGGCCAGATAGCCCATCATGATGAATTCATCAGCAATTAACCATGATAGTTTCCATGGAGAACCGCGAAGAGGTCGACCTGGTTGGGTATATTACTAGCAATGGGATTCTCAGTCTCTATTACTAACAATCCCTTTCCTCCCTATTGGCAAATATTAGGTCAAAATGGCTTCCAGTCTTATGGCTCGGGAGCATTTTTTATAGTAGTTTATGCGGGAGGTCTAAGTTTAGCAATAGGTAATTCACAGCCTATATCATTTCTCATTCTCATTTCAGCTATTGTCCCACTGCTGAATATAAGGCTTTCCAATGAGGAGAGTTTTGTCAGTATTTGCCACGTTAAGCTTTAAGTTTTTAGAGATGTTTTAGGAGGCATGCTACTGCCCATCTCTCTACTATTAAGGTCATTTAGTAGCCTCTTACAACATCAAAAGGATAGGAAAGGGTGGCCTATTCTAATTCTCGGGACCACACATGATGATAAATTTATTATTTTGTTATTTCGGTTTTGGATTTTTTTTAATTTATTATTTATATTATTTAGCTATTAAACGTTATTTTCCTTTGTTTCATGTTCATTGTACTCCATAGAGCTAAGGGTCTAAACCATTGCAGCGCCACAATGTCTGGACGAGGCGATTAGATTGTTGGAATTATATTGAAGTTTCAACCTAGTTACAGAGTTGTGTTTTGTCTTATTGTCTCATCTGGATATAACTGGAGAAAACTTGTTGGGTAAATTTAATTAAATGTAGTATTTCAAGGAAGAAATAATAGTAGATTTCTTAGTTTCAAAGTCCACTTATTAAAGTAAATATTATTTTATAAATTTGAAAGAGTTATGTCAAGGAAATGAGTAAATTTAATTATAATTTCAGTGTAGTCAGTGCAGATAGTAAACTAAATAATATAATCTTGTTAGTAACATTTAAGGAGGTTTTTATTTCGTTTAAATTTGTTATGACTATGTTACGTGATCGAAATCTTTGTTATGTGATTAAGCTGATGGTTTTAGACTGATTTTCATAGTTCTTTTCTGTTCCCTGTTAGTTTAGAATGGAATTTTAATATATTAAATATCTGTTTATTGGTGTGCGTGCGTGCGTGCGTATATACGTGTGTGTGTGTGTGTGTGTGTGCGTGCGTACGTGTGTACGTTCGTGTGCGTGTGCGTGTGCGTGCGTGTGCGTGTGCGTGTGCGTGTGCGTGCGTGCGTACGTGCGTACGTGCGTGTGCGTGCGTATGTGTATGTGTGTGTATGCCCGCACACACATATCTGCGTGAATGCGTTGTTGATTAAAATAGCTTTTTTTTGCGTAATAAAAATTTTTTTCTTTTATTTTTGTCATATAACAAACAAAAATAACTTTTAATGAGAGATTAGAACACAATGTGTTATTGCCCTATTAAGCTCATAAAGTATTCACTAAACTAAACTAAACTCCAGGCCACCTGATACCTACTATAATCCCCTAATGAGTGGTGATCTTTTCCCATTGAGAGATTGTTTCAATGGGTTATTCAAAAATGCTTAAAAATAAAAATGTATTGGCACAGTAATGTTTAATTATTGAAACTTAATCAAGAACACAATCCTTTGTCTATACTTATAATTAAATTCCACTGAAAACTGTTATTTTATTCAGAAACAATGGGTTCGATATTGACATGCGTGCGCTTAATATAATTTAAATCGGTAATTGAATTAATTATTGTGTTTCATAGCAAAGGGTTTTAATATAAATTGTCTACAAATATATAAAATAAAATAGAATATATAGAATAGGCAATCTATTTCTTTCCCGTGGGTGTCGTAAGAGGTGACTAAGGAAGAGCGAGGGACAGGCAGCATCCTCTTAAAACATCTCCAAAGACTACACTAAAGAGAAAGTGAGTGTGTAAGTTAGTGAGTGGGTGGGTGTGAGTGAGCGAGCGTGCGAATGAGTGAGTAAGTGAAACAGATGATAGTAGAAAATTATTTTATAATTATTATATATTAAATAAAATATATATATTTATTAGTTATATTTATTGCGTCAAATAGCTATCGCCTTTTTCTTTTCTCCTCTACACAATGGTTGTCTGGAAGACACTTGTATTAAGTGATAAGATCGCCTTTTTTATTTCATATATATTTATATATATGTTTTGTATTATTCTTTAAGTGTTGCAATAAATAATAAATAAATAAATAAAATATATACTTTTCTACCTTATTCGCATTCTGCCACCAAGCTGCTGGCAGTTTCGTGAAATTATACGAAGATAAAATATTATCACCCTCAGGAAACGCACGAGAGGCACCATGGGTGTCACAATGTATACTGTTAATTCCCAGAAAACGTATGAGAAACACTATGGGTGTCAAAGGATATTCTGTGATGATATTTATGTCTATAGGCGAGGGCTACCACTTTCCATCACCTAGGCCATAGTTTGTTTCCCATTCTAATTTGCATTATAAAAACTATTTGAATAGACAAGAAAAAGTGTAGTTATAAAAAAAATATTACTAATAATAAGTGCCAAGCTAATATTATTAAAGTGCATACAGATAAATTGTTAATGTTTTCCATCAGGTGAGCCGTCGGTTTGTTTGTTTCATAAAAAAAGATGATATGGAAATATTTGGCTACGTAAATAAACAGTGATTTCAACAACGCACTTCACAGTGACGCACACACACCCAGACACACTCACACACACACGCTGGTACGCATGCATGCACGTATACATACAGACCTACAAATACTCATTGAAGAACGTTCAGATATTTTTTAGACAAAATGAATTTTAGAACGTAGAATTGCACGTTTACATGTAGATTTTGCTTAGTATTGCTAAGCAGATGTTTTAATTTAATTTTTAAATTTACATATTTATAAATTGACTATATATATATATATATATATAT